ACAACAACAACAATAGTGGATTATATTGTTGTTGTTAAGTGCTGTCAAGTCATTTCCTACTCATATTGACCCTCTATAGGGTTTCCAAGGAGTGGCTGGTGAGTTTGAACCGCCGACCTTGCAGTTCAAACCAACTTTGCAGTCCAGCACTTATCCTACAGTGCCACACCAGGACTCCACACCAGGATTCTATATAAGATATAATATAAGTGCCCTAGAGTCAGTTCCAACTCATGGTGGTGGTGATGGTGCTTCTGTATTGGACTTCTGAGGCTGTGACTCTTTACAGGAACAGAAAATCTCATTTTTCTCCTCTGAGTCAGCTGGTACTTTCAAACTGCTGGCCTTGTCATTAGCAGCCCGACTCTTAACCCACTATGGTACCAGAGCTCCTTTTCCCAACTCATGGCGATTCTGTAAGGAAGTTCCGAGGCTTTAAGTTTTTGCAAAAGCAGAATACCTCATCTTTTTCATGCAGAGCAGCTGGTGGGCTTGAACTGCCGATCTTGCGCTTTTGTAGTCCAGTGCTTGTCCTTTTGAGTTACTATGCTTCCAAGATATAATATGAATAAGACATAATATATTATAATAATAATTTAGGCCAGGAGTCAACTCTGAAGGAGACCACCAATTGTTCATATGCAAGTTCAAGCTGAAACTGAAAAATTCAAAAAGAACTGAATGGAACATTTCAAAGGGCAGACCAAGAAGACAAAGTCAATTATTATAATGAAATGTTCTAAGACCAGGAATCAGAAACACAAAAGGGAAAAAACACTTTCAGCATTTCTCATTCTGAAAGAGCTGAAGAAAAACACAAGCCTCGACTTGCAATATTGAAAGATTTTTTGTACAAAATATTGAATGATGCAGAAAGTATCAAAAAAATTGAAAGGAATATGCCATGTTACTGTACCCCCCCAAAATGGCCACTGTTCAACCATTTCAAGAGGTAGCATATGATCAAGAACCAATGGTACTGAAGGAAGAAATTCAGGCTGCACTGAAGGTATTTGCGAAAAACCAGGGTCTAGGAATACACAGAATGAAAACTGAAATATTTCAACAAACCGATGAAGCAGTGGACGCACTCACTCCTCTATACCAAAGAAATCTGGACAACAGCTACCCAGCCACTGACTGGAAGAGATCCGTATTTGTTCCCATTCCAAAGAGAGGTGACCCGATAGAATGAGAAAATCATTAATCTCAAGTGCAAGCAAAATTTTACTGAAGGTAATTCAAAAACAACTGCAACGTAGGTACATCGATAGGAAACTGCCAGAAATTCAAGCCAGATTCAAATGAGGATGTGGAATGTGGGATACCATTGCTGATGTCAGATGGATCTTGACTGAAAGCAGAGAATACCAGAAAGATGTTTACTTGTGCTTTCCTGACTACACAAAGGGTTTAGACTGCGTGGATCATGACAAACTATAGATAACATTGTTAAGGATGGA